CAGGAACTGGATCTCCCTATGAGCCTGCAGTTGGATTCCTTCTACAAAATCAAGTTTTATGGTTTTTGTGCCAGCTTTATTAAAGAAATCCAGCTTACTGCTCCTGAGTGACAGGCATGTGCAAAGATAGGATTGATGGAAGAAATGGATTAAAAATATTTTGCAGTTCAGAATCCTGTTCCTCACAGGATTGTGCAGGATTCTTACACACTCCATTTCTCTCCTGACTTATGAGCAAGACACAGAAGCTCCTACTTTCCAGCTAGCTCCACCTGTCAAAGGGTTGCTCATTGCTGCCAGAGGCAAGGCTAAGGCTTTGTACTCAAGATTAGTAAGGAAAGTTTTCCCCAGAAAAAGACACAACTGGGAAGTATTCAAAAGCTAAGCAGACCTTGTGAGGAACAGGAAAGGGGAGAAGGGGCCATGATGCTTCCACCCAGAAACTCCCGTTTCGCTGCTACACTCGCTGAAAAACCCAACATTTCAAGGGAGTTTGCACAAAACAAACAAAAAAACATTTAGACAGAGACACAGTTCATGCTGAATCAAAGGCAATGATCACAAAGACTCATTCTACCTTAAAATGCCTCTATGAATGTATGTTTCTAATGTAACCATTTTAAAGAGAAAAATACCCCAAACCCAGTCCATCCTTTGGCTTTACCTTATTCTAATTTCCAAACTATACTGGAACCAGAATCAACCCAGGAGATGAGACAGCTGGGAGATGAGGCATCACTGAATGTTGCTAGTTTTTCAGATATGGTGAATACTAATAACATTCTTTCCCTCTCTTGTTTACCTGTTTAGAAGGTCAAAGAACCTAGAAAGCAATGCATTATTATTGTGACATCCCGAGAAAAAGGCAAAATCAGCAACAGGCAACGTTCACTCTAGAGTAGTTGTAGGAATCAGGGATCCATCCAATGCCTGTGGTTCAGCTAGTGCTCTCATTCCCAGGTACAGCATTGGATTAATTCTTCAGTCCTTTGTCAGCCCAGGGATCTTCTCACCAGTGGGATTTATTTTGCTTGGAAGAAGGGGTCCTGACACTTGATAGCCCTGACTGCTTCCAGCCGGAGCCAAAGACAGACATCGGCTGGGCCCAAGCCCTGCTAGAGGAAAAGCCAGCTTGTGTAGTAAGGTGGGGAAAGGAGGAGACAGGTTTCAAGGCAGGGCCCATTGATACCATTTCTTGTGCTTTCTGTTTCAGCTGCCATCCTTGCCAACCTGATGCAAAACTGAGGCAGAAGGACATAATGCCCAAGTCCATGAAATGTGATATCAGAAAATCTTCCTCTCTCCCTGCCTGAAAGGGGGAAGGTTTGAACAGGAGCTGGACAACACAAACGCTTTCCTGATCTTCCACCTAGCCAAGGCTCAGTGCCAAGTACAACCCATTCAATTGTGGTGGGGGCGATTACTCCACACCATTTATCCTACTACCATGCATCTCACCTCTCATGAGTGTCTGACTATGTCCAGCCTAGTGCTTTCAGCCAGTCTGGTGGCCATTCTTCTTTAAAGACTATGCTGTGAACTGTGGTAATTAAGCACTGCTCAGTAAACAGTTTAGGTATCCATGAGGCAGGGGTAAGGAGGAAAGCTGGGTGCCTCCCCCAGGGCTAAGCCCCCACCAGTCCCAGCCAGACCTACTTCCCAAAGGGCAGCATGGCCCAGGGCCCAACTTGCTGACTTTCTCCTACAGAGAGAGATATTGTCCTGGTATCACTGTAGCACAAGGATGTTGCTTTTTGGTCTGTATTCAGCATGCCAGGGGAGCTTAGTAAGAAGGCAAAAATTTGCTGTTCTAAGTCATTTTCCCCTTTGTTTCAAAAAGCCCAGTCACTAAAATTGGTAACTAAGAGTATGCAATGGCAACTGCCCCAGGAGACTTCACAAAAAAAACCCAACCCATTGTGTTGTTTTTTGTAGTATCTGCTAAAGACCTAAAGAGCCAGCAGTTTGCACACTGGAAGGAGGGACTTGGCTTTAGAGTAGAAATAACAAATCTCACTGACCCCATTTCTGCATTGAGGTTGTAAAATCATCAGGCAAGAAGAGACAGAATCACAGCTGTTGGTAAGAGGAAACACTTTTTTTTCCTTAGGCTTAACATTCTGAAGCTTCTAAATAAATGCAGCATCATCAGCCCTCCGACTTTTATCAAGAGCTTAATGAGATTTAGGACTGTCATTAGCACCTTCAGTCCTGAAGTCCCGCAAATGTAAAACCTGAAGCCTTTTTTTTCCTACCTGCTCATGTATGTGAAGGCAAGCTGGAGAACACAAGCTAATCTTCTTTATTGAGGTGGGGGGTTTTTTGTTAGTTTCCAAGCAAAATAAAAATTAAAGAAAAAAAAAACAAAGAAAAAAATCCCAAATACTTGCACAAGTAGAAACAAAAAATTAAAGTAGGCAACAGTATTACTCAGTTCAGGAATGAAAAGAAAAAAACTTAATGAAGGACTTAAAATCTGAAAATATCTAGGGTGACTGAAAATATTAATGCCATATATTAGGAGATTAACACCCCCACAACACAGTGGGTGGAAAGACTACATAGCCTCTTGCACATGCTTTAGGTCAAAGTCACTCAGTACAGAGAAACTATCGAGTGACTCTCAGTAGCCTAAGATCCGAGGGCAATGAATGAGGGGAGACTTGTAGGTACTGCTTCTCTGGGCAATCTGTGGGTGGTGGTATTACTCCCAGTCACCCCAGCCAGTCTGAGAAGAGGAAAAATGCCAAAGAACAGATTGATTTATTATATGTTTATTTGTGGCTTGAGAAACTTCTCATACCTGCTTTTTAGTCCTCTTTAGAAACACCACCAGTCAAACAGACCAGTTAAGAACCACAACTGTGCAGATTGTTCCCAGCTGGGCCAGCAGGGATCCCCTAGGAAAAGCCCCCGGCAGCCTGCCATGTGTCCTCCCTTCAATCAAGAATGAACATATATTTCCTCCATTTGCTCTGCATTTTAAGCAGGGCTCCTGACAGCTGTTCTTTCCCCAGGCTTCACTGATGTGGCAGTCTAGTCTTTTCCCTGATCTGCAGTCATAAACTGACTGAAAAATCCAGGTGTTTCATAAGGTGAAAGCAATTTAGTGTTTCTAAACTGCAATTCATTCACTGACCAGGAATGTGAAGATGGAGGAGCATTTGAATGTGAACAGATGAGCTCACCAGGAATTTGTGAGCAGGTACCTGGCGCTCTCCCATCCTGGGTAATGATTTATTATCCCTTGATCATCCAAAACATTTTCTTCTCACTCTCTTCTGTCAACTCCCTCTTACCCCTGAAGGGGTTTCAAGGGAAACACAGAGGAAGATTTCATCAAGAATTCACACTTCTCCTATGCAAGTAGGATTGAATTTTTTATTCTCTGCAGTTCCTCTGAGCTGCTCTCACGTCTCTCAAGATTCTATAACCTAAGTTCTGCCAGATGACACAACCATAACCTCAACTGGAACTGTTCAAATATATCACACAGGGTGCAAATACCCTGGTCGGGGGCCAGCTCTGCTCCTACACAGATTGAAAATATGTGTATCTGGAAATGGCTCTCTTAGACCATGAGCCAGGACAGTGCCCATTTGAGAGACTTGGACTATACTGCAGGAGAATATTGCAACCTAACTCAGCAGCCAAAGAAATTGCAAGGTTATATTTTTTTTCTGGCTTTACGCAGTAACAGGAATACATAAGCTAATTTTTCAGTGTTTCCTCCTTTTCCTTTTTTTTTTTTTTTGAAACAGCATCAATAAAAATTGACTGCTTCTCTTAGGAGGAAAAAAGAAAGCAATAATTGGAAGAACTGCACTATATCACCCTCTGTCTCAGCATTATTCCATAGCCTTTCTTCATCCACATTTCATTTTAGGGGGGCAAAACAGTAGTCCAGTATTAACACACCTGACTAGAAATGAATCAGGCAGGCACAGATTCATTCACTGGTCAGCAACTTCCACATGTCCACTGCAGCTCAGGAGTATCAAGGACACACTTCACAGTGAGGACTAGAGTGAACGTTGCCTAGAGATTACTTGCATGGCACAATCTAGAGCCCAAAATAGCGCATGCAGGGTTAGAGCCAGGTAGATCAGCAGTCACCTGATTTCGGAGCAGATTAGTTTGCGCAACGAGGTGAGCTTGTAGCTTCCCTTGACACCACTGAGGAGCGGCTTTCTCAAGCAGCGAAACAGGCTGGGGGGAGGGAGCATGTTTGAGTGAAAAGAGAAAAAAAATAAACAGAGAACAAGAGAGACACAAACATATATCTTTTAGGATAAAAAAATTAAAATCACAACACAGACTGTATTTAGAGGCTGGGCCAAACCAGCATCACCAAGGCGAGAGAAATAAACAAACATCCTGGAACTGATCAGTTACGAATCCTTTGAAGCATGCCAAGTTTAGCAGTAATTAATGCTCCAGTGTGGGCTGGATACTGCAGACCAGCCAGGCAGCTGGAAGAGCAACACACAGTTGTTAGTGACCTAGCACACAGACAACACTACTCCAAGGCATGGCTGTGAAGTGGGAGCTCCTTAAAGAGAGGTCAGGATTAATTAACCACCATAATTATTTGCATGCAATAGCTGAAAGTTCACAGTGCTTTATTTTAATGGCAAAACTGTAAGTTTAGCAATAAGTGGCAGTGGCCTGGGTGGAAAAAGAACATCCATACATTAGAGAAGAAAAAAAAGAGACCATATAGCACTAAAAGTATTCACTTAGCTGTTTCTGTTACTATACAATGAAACCTCAATAAAGTCAGTTTCCACTTGTATGCTGTGTCAGAACGATGATTTCTCTTTCCTAGGGCCTGACATCATATTCCAAAGTAACTTACACTGGAACAACCCTATTTAAGAGCTCACACGAGCAAAACTGCAGTCACAGGAACAGAGAGGTGAACTTCCTACATCAGCCGAGTGCAAGCTGTCCTACACCAGCTGAGGACTGCTGCCCGCAGTCCTGCAGAGCTGTGATTGCAAATTTCAAATCACAGGCTGGGCTGTGAAAACTGCCCACTTGGGAAGACCATACACACATAACTTTCTGAGACTTACTGCTCCTTCCTTTGCAGAATCAGGAGAGTGCAATGTGTCACATATTGTCCCATGCATGAGCTTAAGGCCTGAAGCAGAGGGGGGGGAAAGATCTGATCCAGTGCATGTTTTGGCTAACAAAAAGAATCTGATGAAGGACTGAAAGACTCTTGCACAGGCTGAATAAGGAACAGATCACCAACTTCTAAAACTCAACATTTCACTCTTGAAACTGCACTTCTTTTTCAAACTTGTTATATCATCTTAGGTGAGCATTGGGGCAACAGCAAATGCAGCAATGACAAAGGTGGCCAGCCTATGGCACAGAACACGAGGTACCAACCTGAGCAGATCAGTTCCTACAAAAGCCATTTCCACTGCAGCAGAGATCCCACAGGCATGCACCAATAAAAACACCACGCCCCAGGGAAATTCTGCTCTTACTCACAAACACAATGAATTACAGCTTTGAACTGAAGGCACAACCAGCTGGGCCTCATGCCTTGCATACAGAGCTAAGATTTCCTTTGCCACACAAATGATGCAATGACACTTGGGCTGTCAATCTCTCTCCCCTTTTGTCTGTCAAGGTTAACCACAGTGCACTCACTGAGTGAGTAGATGACTGATGACTTGTAGCTTAACAATAAAAGTACTGTGTGCATTAAATGCACATCTTTCCCTCAGGAGAGATGCATCTTAATTTCTTCCATGCAGGAGAAACACCAATGTCTGTCATATAGCTCTCATTTCCCCCTACCAGAAATAATTCTAAGCAAAGAACAATAACTCTTGTCAGTCTGGTTAGAAGATACAGATCCAGGCTCTTTCTTTCCTGCACTGCTTCTACCCTGAAGAGTCTCAGTGTGCCACAGTCCACACTGAAGAGAATTAAAGATGTCTCCCCAGCTCTGGACTATTCTGTTGTATCAAAAACTGTCCTGTGCAGTGAAGCACATGGGTTCAAATACACTTAAGGTACAGGAGTAATCCACAGCTCATTTTCTGGGCAGGTATTCAAACTATGTGGCTACTCTAGAACAAAGTTAGCACTATGATCTTTCTTCAGCCACATTAAAAAAATACGTAAATTTTATTTTAAATTAAAATAAATTTCATAAAAAATAAAATCCTTCACTTGAGTGTCAGGCAGTAAAGCCTGGATCAAGCTATTCACAGGCATGAAAGAAACCTGACAAGAGAAAACTCTTGGTTTTCTGCATTCAGCCATGTTTATTATCCAGTAATTTTGACCAATAAACAACAGAACATATCAAGTGTGCATAGAGCTCATTTCCATTGAAGAACTTGTAACTCACACTCCTATGGGTCTCTGTCCTCATATATCAGAGGCCTTCACAAACACAACCAATCTCAAGCAACACTCAAACACTTACTCCTGCCACTGCTCTAAGATGGGGAAACAAAGCAGCAGACAAACTAGAAATTTTTTCTGGGGCATTGCAAGCTTTTGCTTCCCCAAGAGGCACACAGGCTTTTCTACCAGAGGTTACTGGTCCTACGGCATGTGAGTAAACCCATGCCTAAGCATTTGGCCACCAAGAGATGCAGATTGACGATCAGGAGTCGGAACCAACCCAACAAAGGCCATTCTGCCTTCTAAAAGCACTAAACAAATGAGAAGGAAAATACCTAGGCAAAACCTCACCAGCTCACAACACCTCAATGATCTTAAAGGTCCTTTCCAGCAATAACTGATTCTTTGAAAACATAGTGAAGAGGTACAGGTGCAATTAAAAGCTGCTCAGTAGACAAATGCAGGTGTCTCAAAGTGCAAAGATGGCTGCATATCCTCCTGTTTGCTTTACCTTTGCGATTTTGGTTTCATCCTTCTTCTTTGCAGTTTGCAGGGCTTCAAAGTGGTGTCTGGCACTGTCATAATCCACAAGCTTCCTTCCTCGCTTCGCTATACGAGACTAAGAAAGATGAAAAAAAGAGTCATACCAATCGTCCCAGCAGGCAAAACTGCAAAACATCTCAGGAAAAACACCCTCCCCTCTTCACCCAACTTCCAGAGCACCCCATGCTTGGCCCACACAAAGACACCCACTGGATCCTCCACACAGGCTGGCCGGAGAGGTGGCCCTGGGAGCCACCTGTGACAACCACCATCCTAGAGGGATCTCCTCCGGAGGAGAATAGACCCAAATAGGGAAGGCAAAGACATCCAACCAACAACAGGCCCTACTTCTGGGTGATATTAATGTTTTCAGAACTGTAGCTCCACTGCTTCCTGAGCCTCCCCATGTTCCTGCATCCTCCAGGCATTGCTTTGTCATTTTCAAGGCTTCCTGAGGGCTGCAGCCAGTCTCTGACTAACCGGCTCACAACCCTAATTTGTGTGGAAGTTTGAAAGATTAAGTTCAACAAAAGAAGGCATTTCTGTTGCCAGCACAGCAAAAGCACTTGTCCAAATGTTCAGGATATGCCTACGACAGCATTTTAGACCCCTAGACAAGAGCTGCAGACAGAAGTGACCACAGCCACAGCTATTAAACAAGAGAATTACAAGGGAAAACCTGTAGCACTGCGTCACCAATCGCCAAGACACACCAAAGCTGTAACAAACACAAGGAGGGAGTCAACCGTGTACCAGACTCCCATTCAGGAATGGAGTCTCGACAAATCCATGGTTTCATCCATCCTGATTTTCATCCATCCTGACAAATCCAGGATAGACAGGCCTGTAGCCTGACCCTTCATTGCCTTTCAACATCTGAGGTGCCTCAGGCTCTCTCCTACAGCAGAGTTGCACCTTGTTGAGACTCTGGTCCACATGGCTGCCCTGTTTCAGGAACTATCCATTCTCTCAGACCCTTGCTTCCCAGTGTCTGCAAACACCCCAGGCTATCTGAGTTGGAGCACAGGTCTTTCCTCAGGCTTCCCAGCCTGACCCTAGCACATCCCACTCAACTCAGAGAGCCTGGACCAGCATCAGTGACCAGCAGTCCAGAAACAGGCTGAAGAACTGCAGTGAAAAGGCATGGCAAGGAGCCAGGAGAGTTTCCAATTAACCACAGCACCCAGGGACATAGAAAGTGCAGAATGAGTTATCAGCATTGGGATTTACTTGCAAAAGCAAAATCCCTCCCTCTACTGCGCTTGGCAGGGAGATGCACTTTCCTCTCCCCAGACTCCTGCAGATAAGCTGCAAAACCGCACTCAGGGCTGATCTCTCTGCCAGACCAGCTGGGACCAGTTCGCACTCCCACACATGCTCCTCTGCACTTTCAGCAAATGTTGGTGCAGTTCTGTGTGAGTCACAGCAGATCTGCAGGATTTCAGCCACACGCACACACAAACTGATTTCTAAACGCTCAGTTCACTCCAAGAGAGGAATCACGAAGAAGCTGAGCCACCCCACAGTCGAGGTCACTAGAAAACACCTCCCAGGCATCACGTTGCCAGTCAGGCACAGATACAGGGTATTGGAGGGGTTTTCCAGCAGCATGACAATCTCTGAGATGCTAGCTAATGCATCTTAAACACACACCAGATAAAACACATAGCCCGATACCGGACTTAAAGAGATACAATTTTTCCCCCAGGGCAGGCTGGTAGATATAGCTGGAGTTTTCCCACTTCCAAAATTTCCTGCTACCTCACCAGGGAGTTTGAATGAATGTCACCCATCTCTCAAACAAGGTCACTCCTGGTTTTCACAGCTCCCGACCTTCTAACCCCCACCCTCATGTTTCTACTGGAGTACATAGAAATGCTGCAAGGTATGGACACACAACGTGTGAGTACTCCTGGAGTCACAACTAATCACACCATTGCCTGGGATGGCAGTAATGGTATTTAGCTCAGACCTGGAAGGCTGCAGGGCTTCCTTGCATGACTCTAGGATAGCTGCAGCTACCCACCACTGTCTGAAGGTAATAGCTGAACTCCAATAGAGTTTACTACTTTGCAACAAATCCATCTTAATTTGAGCCTCCCTTAAAAAAAAAAAGAAAACCTAAACCATCACAAAACACCTGGCCACCACATGCTCTTGTACTAATATTTGATTTCAAACCTAGTAGGGCACCAGGTTCAGTGCAGGACAGAAAATCGATGCTTCTACAGCTATTCAAAATTTGGTTTATAATTTATCTTCTCTAGGCTCACTGCAGAGACCTGGACTCTTATTATATACTCTGCAAAATTGATCAAAAACTCACTCAGAAATAAAGATTATGCAAGAGTCCTACTCCAAAAAGTACAGACACAAATAGCCAACTCCTGTGAAATATATCTGTATTTTATTGTATAAACCAAGAGAAAGCCAAATCTTCACTCGTTTTAGGAAGGGAAGCAGAGGTGAGTAGTGCTCTCTTTAAAATATCACTTGAATTATAAATAAAATTGCTTTTATGCAATAATATAAAATTCCCCTTTTCTAGAGCATCGTCTGAAAACTAAGAAAGAAGCATTAGTAACAAACACTTTAGTGGCCGATTTGGAAGTCAGAAAGTATCCATGGGAACTCAGTATCTAACACCTTGAGTTTTGGTGGAATTTGGGTGGTCCCAGTCCTGCACTTCTTTTAAAATCCCACTGTAAAACCTCAGCAGGACCCCGGCAGAAGTAAAAAATCTTGAAGACTTGGAAAAAAGCGACATTCTGAGGTGGCCCAGTGCACAGCCAACGAGGCTGGTAAAATGTGATTTGGACCAAAGCAGTGCCAAAGTCTGAGTCTACAGCAAGCCCAAAATAAATCCTTCTGCTTAGGAAGCAGTGCACGAGGCTCTCCACTGCTACCTGAGGCACATGGCATCACACTACGCAGAGTGATCAGCTCTACAGCCTTGAGCAGGTGGAAAGCAACACCCTTCCCCACTTCAAACTTCCAGGGGCAGAAGAGTCTGGAAAAATGAAGCAAAAACAAGGACTACCAGGAGACAAGGACACTGCTGTTCAGGGCTCATTTTCCAAGCATGTAACCTGCCACCCTTTGATACAGCACAATCCTCCTGAAGCAACAAATACTGACAAACGTTTCAGGAGACATGTGGTGGGGAAAAGGTTGTTTCCACTGGAAAGTAGCCAAGCTGATACTTCCCATATGGTGATATCATTACTAGTGCTTCCATATGGTGAAGACATTTCCTGCATAACCTCAAAACAAATGGAGAGGAGATAATTGTGGGGGAAGGGAAGGTCACAGGACATCATTCAAACTCAGGTCCTTGGATATGATCTCTCCCCAAAAGACACCTATTCAGCATTCCCCCTTCCCTGAAAAAAAATTGGTTATACCCACAGCAGGAGTTCAAGGCACTCACAGAAATCTGTCTCCACATCAGCCTCTACTTGTAAAGCATGTTTGCCACTAACTGCTTCCTCAACGTTTTGTTCTTACAAGGAAGTTAAAAGCCAAAAGGACCAAAAAGAGAGACTGAGAGCTTCTGAGTTATTGCTGACACTGCCCACCTGTACTCTGATGCAATAGGGAATTTTATGGATCCTCCTGTTCAACACTTACGTTTTCTCTTTAGCATCTTTCCACTCTCATTTTAAGCCCAAAAGTAGAACAAAACATTTTTGCATGACCCAGAGCTGCAAAGACCTTGGCTGCTCTCAAAGAAGACCTTGCAGCAGCACAGCACACACATTCTCCTAAAGATGATGGGAAGCAAGAAATTGATCTTATGAGGTTTTATCTGATGTGACTATCTAGATCAAAAGCTTTAAAGAGAATCTTACTTTTATATCCGGAAATTGGCCAAGGTACGTATCCATGGTCAGAAGTGCTTGATCCACCAGCTTCTGATGGAAATCCGTCCACAGGAGATCATTGTTCTGAAAAGCAAAAGTAATGAGCTCTGTGTTCTTAATAGTTAAGAACACAGAGATCCACATTTCTATTTTTCTCCATGAGTGCTATAGTCAACAATCTCAGTCCCCCAGAGCTCTGACGAAATAGTAATTTCTTTGGAAAACCAAGGAGCAGAGAAGTTAGTCAAAAACAGAGATCTTGTCAGAAATGTAGAAATCCTAATGCTGCTAATTCAGGTGACTTCTCCAAGGACAAAGTGCCTTTGAAGGCCTGTCTTTCTCCCTGCAGTGCCAGCTGAAGTCCATGCAGTGGAAGGGAAAATGAATGTCAGGCTGGCTAAAGTCACAAAAATGGGACACCTGACATGATGAGACACCATTTTCTGCTTTTCACAACAACACAGCTTTCTGGAGGCTCATGAATAATAGCAGTAAGCTACTTCAGCAGCCCTGCCACGACCTGCATCCACAGTCCGATGGAGGTCACAGCCCAGGCTTCCACCCTCAGCTGTGCACACTTTACCCTGACCTTATCTCAGGCACAGTAATTTCCTATCAACACCTTGGATTAGGTGAAAATTGCCCGTTTCTCCTGTTTTTACACTTGAACAAAGAGTCTTGGCTAAAACATTCAAGTAAAAATCCCACTTTTTTGTTTGGCAGGAATAACACTTCTATCTCACCTGTCTTTTTGCATGAGAAATATAAACAATGCTTTAAAGGGAAGGTGGAGGGCTGGAAATATTCCTACAGATCCAAAGAGCAGCTATAGTTAGTTGTCAGGACTCATGCTCCCTTTGACCTCTCTGGCTCAAATTCTCCGAAGGGTCGATTCCCCAGGAAGCACAGCAGTGGCTCAGGAAGAAACAAAACCCACAGAGAACATGAAGCCAAACCAGCTGAAATTTATTTCAGCTCCATTATTTACTGCAACAGCTCTTTCTAATACAAAGTTTCCATGTCAATGCAAGAATTGACCTGGAAATGTTCAGGTTTCATTTGATTCATCTGCTTTGAAGTCATTATTTCCTAGGCAAGATGCAGATGTTATTTCAGGTGAGATTTTCTGCAGGGGAAAGAAGGGGAAGGAAAGAATCCTTCTCCTGCTTTCCTGTCTATTCCTTCACCACTGCTTCAGTGCCATAGACAGTTGCAGATAAGCCCAGTGCTGCAGTCTCATGGCAAATGGATCCACAGAGCCAAACTGCCACAGCTGCTGCTCAGCAGAACAGCTGAGCAAGAGGGCAGAGGATGCCTGCCTCCAGCTGGACCCACCACACATACCAAGGGGCATCCAAGCTGTCAAATGACAGGCTGCTTCCTAAGCTCCACAGCAAACACCTGGGCAAATCGGACAGGCATCTCCTCACCAAGGGATGAGAAGACAAGCAGGTTAGGGTGACACATGGCTCAACCAAACAAGAAAGCACCTAACATAAGGCAGCTGATGGTACTGCCGTGAGTATGGGGTTGTTGCAGCTACACAATGGCTGCTTTGACCATGCTTTAGCCACAACTTTATCTTCCCCTTTCTCTTACACAGAATATAAGCAGTACATCCAGTTTACCCTACTGAGTCTCTTTTGCCATCCTCTGTCCCCCTTTAGCCACTTTGGGGGGAACAAATTGCTTGTGGGCATAAGTATATGGCTCGGTGGAGCATTTAAGCACCTGGGGACAGTGTCCTACACAGACAAACACATAGGCCACATCATTTCAGCTTTCCCTTCTTCCCAATGCTGAATTTGTCTCCAATTCTTCTGCAAAGTCATATGCCTGAAGAAATGTGGTGCACAGACACAACTACTAAACCCCATCGCTGCTGACAGATCAAGTCTGTACATCCCCACATCCTGCACAAAGTCTTACCTCTGCTATTTTATTTGTGTCATCTCTCCCAGGCCAATCTGGCTCATAAACTTCCTGCAAACACTCTGTCAGCTTCTTGGAGGCCTCATGCATAGCTACGAAAGAAATGGGAACTGCTTCAGAAAACAGAAGGAAATAATGTGTTCCTCATAGTTTAACCTTCATCCCAAGAAATGGAGACACAGGAGGGTTATAACAGATGCTAAGCTCTTCCTTACTAATGTCTGACCCTTGATTAACAGAGAGATGGAAAGTAACCAGAAGGAGAAAAGAACCAAGGATGAAGTTGCATCCAACCCTTTGTGTTCATCTTCCCATAGCAGAACATATAAAGGTCTATCTGCTATGACAGAACCAATTGTTTGGCATCAAAGGACAACCCCACTTCATCCCAGCTGGTCCTGAAAGATTCTGAAAGATACCCACCCCAGACAAGGCTGACCTTTCCTACAGCTCACACCTGAGGAAACACCAGGAAGGGGATGGCTGCAGAAATGTGACTGTGTAGGTAAGCCCTAGAGGAGAAACAATCCTCTGCTTACGCAGACCTTACCTTTTACAGAAGCCAAGTAGGTTCGGAGGTCCTTCTGCAGCCTCGTGCCTTCGGTCTGTGAACATAAAGAGAAGATCATCAGTTATTCTGTCACATAAAGTGAGTGTAAGAAGTCGTCAAGCATTTCTAATCAAATAAAATTGGTCTTGCAGATGGGCTACACACAAGTCCTATGATCATATGAAACACAGATGTTAACAGGGATTCCACACAGCCCTCTGACTTGGTAAGCCCACAGCCAGTGACCTGCAGGCATGTTTAGCCGACAATACCACCAAGGTACTGAGTAACTTGATGTGGGTAAAGCTGTGATTTACTCTTCCCAGCAGAGCCAGTTTTAGCGTTTCATACAGACAACTAGAGAGGGTCCTAAGGGCAACAGTTAGTTTATACGATAAGGGCTAGTGGGTCGTCCACTAGCTATGCAACAAATGGAACTGAAGGGAACCTATGGGAATACTGAAGATAAATGCAAGTCATTTTTTTTATTGATTTTTTGAGCAGTTTATCTGCCACACTGAACAGCAAACCCTGTGTAACATGGGTACAAGGGACATCTAATCTGCCCAGACATTGTGGCTAAATTGTTCTGTGCAGCAAGGCTTGCAAATACAGAGTTAATCATCTTTAGTTGTACTGTGGAGGTGGCCTGCCAGCAGCAGATCTCACTCACTAGGAAACAAAAGATCACAACAGAAGCTGGGCTGAGTTTTGCCAGTTTGAGCCTTCAGATGTCACAACTGAGTGAACTCAGATTAGAAAGAGTCACAGATATTTTTACAGCAAGTTGTTTCAGACATGCACACATACGTGCACTCCTCATTTGACTGTTCTCCTGCACTAGGATAAGCATAGTCAGGCTCACCTTCCCTCTACCTTGCCGTGTCATTGACAGTGGTGCAAAGCAGACAGGGAAATACTCCCAAGCACAGACAGTGACATTATACAAACAGAAATGAAGATAAAAGCAAGGCTTGAGACATGACTAACACCACCACAGAGCATGTCAGCAAGGGCAGGAGCAAACATTGAGGACACCTGTGCAAGCAACCTCTGGACTATGCAAGAAATACAGAAAAGAGTTTGAGAGACAATGATCTTTGTTATAAAAAGATTTCTCTTACCCTGTGGGATCTCACTGGATCCTCACTATCCCCCAAATTAGCTGTAAAAAACAAGAATGCAGAAAAGACCACCACACCTCATAGCCCAATGTCATTCCTCCTCTTTCCCAATTTGTGTCCCATTGGGGGGGCTCCCAGCATAATGAATTTTGACAGCTGAAGATGACTCCAGAGACAAGGAGATTGCAGGACATCTCCAACAGCTGCCTCATTGCTACTGGCTTCAAAAGCAGATGTTTCCCATCAGCCCTCCCCATCACTCAGGCACCTCTTGCCTCAACTGAGCTCATGCTGTGATCCTTTGTCCTCTCAGTACAGCTGTGCTCTCTAAGCAGAGGCTAAATCTGTCCAGCTGTTGAAGTGGCAGTGACAGCATAGCTTTGTGGAGAAATCCATCTGCTTCCAACAGCATGGCCCAATTTCTTTTCCATGCCTCGAAAGTTCTGGATGAGTTCACATTTCTTCTTTTCCTACTGCCATCAACAAAGGAAACGAAGGATGGGAAATGGCTGGTCAGTTTTACAAAAGAAAGTCTCCTAAGTCAGGAAAAAGATTGGGAACTGACCCAGAGAGAGTACAAGAGGAAAGGAATGATGACCACATCTGCTGCAAAAGTCCTAGGAGTTCTTAAAACACAGAGCAAACAAATGTAGAGCTGCTTGCTGACTGAAGGTGAACATGGAAACATGGGCAGATGAGACTTTCCTAATAATGCAATCAGAAACCACCAAGGAAGAGGTGCCAGAGTAACCAAAGAGCACACACATGGAGGGCCATCAGGGAGGCTGAGCTGACCATTAGCAATTTAATCAAGCTGCAATGTGTGTTTGCTTGTTCCCAATGCAGGAAGCAAGAAAGTCTTCGAGGAGAGCAGTGTTGTCTGCTCCATGCTAGAAATCACAAACTGGAACCAGCAAGATGAGATATCAGAACACAAGAGGAAATGGTACTGAAGAAAATATTATGCAAAATCCCTCTGATGGATACATTATCATCCTGCAGCTCTATCATGTTTAAGAATGACTAAATTCAAACACACATCTTGGAGGTTATCAGAAATTAATTGGCAGAACTTGCCCGCTACACACTTGGGCACTGCAATGTCTAGAGCTGCAACATTTAAAATTACAGCATCTAAAATCAGAAGCCATCTCTAAAATTGAGTCCATACCTGCCCAAGTCCTGCCACAGCACCAAATCACATAAGCCAAAGTCAGAACTCAAGTCGCGATACTCAGTCCCAAAGCCATGGAGACCAAAGTTTCCTCTGAGCAGTAAACTGGCATCACAAATAAATGTCAAATCAAGAATTTTAGACAGATCAGCTGAAAAACCCACGGCACCTGAAAACTGCTGCATGCAATTGCAACAATGCACAACCAGCCTTCTGTGTCCTCCAGGCATCCTCAACACCATTTGTTTTGCCGCAATGTGACGTCAGCCAATATGTGGTGCTGCATCCTGCAGCTGGAATGGTCTTTCTCAGTCACCTCTTGCTGATGTTTAAGTCAGAGTTGGAGCTGATCCCTGTGACTGTGGATTACCTAAGTTTCTTAAAGTATTCAGCCTGCCAGGGAGAGTGTATAGACTTTACAGCCTGTAAGATCTGCAAAGCAGAAAGATTTCCAAAGAGAGACCCATGTTCAGAGTTTTGCCCTGAATAGTTTCCTCAGCTGCCCTGGGCACCTGTGGTTCCTGTCCACTTCCCTCTTTGGCATTTCCACTGATTTATTTCTTGCCCACCAGTAAAGCAGCTCCCTCTCTACAAAGGCTTCTTTTTATTATATTAAGCATGAATACTTTCCCACAAAACCTTGGGGAAATGTTAAGACAACTGCTTTCCATGCATGCAGCACCTGCTTTCTTCAAGCAGGCTATAGTGAGCTGTCAAGTACTGCCACTATTCTGCAGGAATCATAGAATCATTAAGGCTGGAAAAGACCTCCAAGATCATCAAGCCCAAATTTTGGCCAAATACCACCATGGCCGCTAAACCAGTACCAAAACCAGGACAGCCTGTTTTCTGAACACCTCCAGAGATGACTTCTCTGGGAAGCCTGGTATAACACAACCAGACAGAATATGACGCACAGTAGGTACAGAAAGATGGATATTTAATAGAAGTGCTATAACAAGGAGGCTAGAAAGCTCTCACTCTCCAAAGACCTAATGAGCCACCTATTACTTACAGACCCATGAAAGAAAAACACAAGAGTGTTTGGTGTCTTTTTGTGCTTTCTTGTTTTGTTAGGAGATTGTTATTTACAATACCTCTCATCAAGCTAAGTATGTGATTTTCCATAGATCTGTTTCTTAGTAGTAGACAGGTTTCCTAAAATCCTTTTCCCCCAATCTTCAAAAGAAATTGTTTCATCCTAATATTAGACCGCAACCCCTTTACACAACCTCTCTGGTTTTGCAGTTCCAGTGGGAAGGATTACTATGATCAGGAGGGATGTTTGACACCTGAGAGGTGCAGGAGGTAGTGTCCTGTTCCAGATTAGATTAATGCAGGGCTGGAAGAGCAGACTGTGTAATTATAGGGAGGGGGGTGAGGGGAAGCATTGAAACAACAGCTCCAGATAAGCCCACACTCAGTAAAACTTTTGAGCTGTTAAGACACAAAGCATGAACAACTGGTGAGAAGCTCCTTCCCAGAGTACCAGGCAGGCTCCTAATCTTGTTTTGCCACATAGGGCTGAAATGGAAACTTCTGGGCATGAAGGGTTCTTGTCTGGAAACAAAACCTGTCTCTGAGCTACTGAGTGTAATGGGAACCTATGCTGCAAGAATGAAAGCTAAAGTCCACGCTGCCTGCCCTGCAGACTGAGGCTGTGCTGAACATAGCATGGTACAGGCAGAGATGGACACAGCCCAAGTCAGCAGCAGCTTGGCTCTCATGCATTTGGTGTAAAACACTGGAAACCAACCCAGAATTTCCACACAAGTGACATCACATGAAGGGTATCAAAACCCAGCTGCTCCACCAGGCAGAAACACACCACAGTGTCAGGTGTAAGGGCTGTCACCAGCCTCACACTGTCTCTCCACTGAGTTTAGTGAGATTTTGCCTGGCATGCCTCAGGCAGGGGCTGTGCTGCACCTTTGCAAGCAGCCTCTGGCTCCCATGTCTGCAAGGACAGTATCCAGGATAGATCCTTGTGCTGGTGCCTGAACACAAGTGACACTTGGAAAGGGAAGGAGGGGAATCATTCAGATAGGCTTACTGGGGAGGTTAATTGTCAAAGATAATCTACCTTGAGAGAGTAACAAGACATGCAGTTCTGCTGCTTGTCAAACCTTCAAGAGACACAGGCAAACCCTACAGCTGCATGGTTATGTCCAGCTCATTTGTCACAAAGCAAATCCATCTGTCTGACCCAAAGAGATCCTACCATTCAGAGATCTCAAACTGGTGCTCTTATATGAACCTGATGGACACAGAGCTGGGAAGAGCAATGCTCTTCTTTATGTCCACTCAAGCACTATTTGAGAGAACCAGAAGATGCCTTGGTTGAAAATGAGTAAGTAATTTTTAGACCTGCTCTCCATTCATCAACAGCCCACACATGGGAACGTGTGTCAAAGTGGCCCAACAGGGCCATTAGAGTCAGAGGAGCCCCTAATCAAGCAGTGAACAAGGCCACTGCCTGATTACACCCCAGCCAGTTCCACAGGGGAGCAGAGCTGTTGTGTTACCAGCCTGAAGCAAAAAATCAGCTTCCCTTCAGACTAAATATTTCCCACTGGAGCAGACTTTGTAATGAAAGGTCATAGAAATCTAACAGACAACTATACTACACACACATCTCATACATATAGAAAACAAAAACAAGTGGGCATATATGCACACATAGCTGAAATTTTATTCCCTAGTCTGCTTGGCATGGTAACTCCTCAGCCCTGGATATCCTAACAATCCAGCTAACTCACATTTATAGTTTACCCTGTAAAACAGGCATTGTTTGTATTTCTTTTAGTAATAGGGAAACTGAGGGCCAAAGCAAAACCAACAGACCCTAAGCAGCAATGCAGAGCAGCCTCCAGCTTCTTTGATAAATTATTTGGGGAATTTAGCTCATGGTCTGTCATAAGGGGTACAAAGGCAGTGCTTCTTTAACATGCTTCTCAGTGCACTACTGGAACTCACGGCTTTGGAAATTGAAAAGCCATCCCAGACAGTCACAACTAGTAGTTTGGATTAAAAGCTTTTGGCATTTCTCCTTTAAGAAGGTTATTTCCTAACTGCCAATACTCAAAAATTATACAAAAGAAGTCACACCTGGTAATGTCATGTTGTCAGAATGAAGCCAAAATGTATTCATTCCGCTGTGTACAAGACAATAGCATTGCTGGACATGCTTACAGACATGTTGCATGAACTTCTGGAACAACAGCTACTATCGCTGCCAAGAGAATGAGCATTAGTCTCCAGGAATCTGCAGTCAGCTCTGGTTAAACATAAGTCAAAGTCAGACTGAAGGATTTTCATTATATTCAGCTGTGGCAAATCCCTTCTCAGCTCATTTTGCAACACACAACCACATCTGCTGAGTCTGAACAGACACGATGAAGCTGCTGCTAGCAGCTCCAGAAAAAGGTCCTAAATGTGTCAGGGCACAAAGAGGGTAAAAGATTTCTTCAGCACCACCTGAGCTATAGTGTGGCACACATTTCATGCCATAAAACAAACAATGCTTCCCCTAACAGCAAGCACCAGGGTGCAGACCCTCAGGGTAACCGATGTTTTCCCCTCCTCTGTATGGCGGAAGGCTCTAGATTTAAAAAAATAAATAAATAAAAACCAAACCAAAACACACCCAGTTCAAGAGAGAAACCTACTGCTGTTGTAGGAGGGTGGGGGAAAATTGCCACATTGTTCAAGTATTTCTATGCACTAAAATATAGGGATGAGGCAGACATGCAAAAGAACAATGACTCAGGCCTGACACAGTGATTGTGCAAGTATGGGGAGGAAGCCAGGGTTAGCTCCTAGCCATGGAAGGATGTTCACTTTTCACCATTTGCTTTCTTTGTCTCTTCTGCCCGTCACTGTGTTTGGAAACTGAAACTGCCTTGTTCCATTTTATTTTTTATTTCTAATCTGTTTCCCATTCTATCCATCTTCAGAGACACGATGTTGCTCTTATCTCTGCTTCCAGCTGAGTAGGAAAAATTACATTTCAGAATTGTGAACTGAAGAAAGTGTTCTGGTCGAACTATTTCTTTTTCTAAACTTGAGTCTAAAAGAAGTATTATTTTTCAGCTTACACTCTCATTGACTGATAGGACACTAGAAGTCACAGTGCAATTTCTCATAAGTGAACAGCTACAAGTTTTGGATCACATTGGGCCTATGTCACCATTTAATTTAATGGGCTTTAACTGCATATTTCAGCAGTTGACTGAAAGGCAATACTGAAACCTAGGGTACAATTACATATCAATTATCTTACCAGCTGTTTGTTGAAGTTCTGCACACACTGTTCAAACTGTTCATCTTTAGTTTCATCTGCTTTACCAAGCTTCTGAAGGACCTGCAGAAAAACAGAAGAATGGAGACTTCAAACACAGATACAGCAAAGCAGAGAAAAGAAACAATTGCAGGTTTTTGCTCACGAGGCTGAAAGAATAAAAGCTAAAAGTTCCCATTACTCTTGCACTCAGAATTTCTGGAATATTTTTCCACATAGTCCAAGTTTGAAAAAGGACTTAGGGATGAGTCAGGAAGAACTCGGACCTCTTATACTCACTCCACTGTACTGAAAAGCATAACTGAGGCTTGTCCTTCACTGGTCTAATGCTTTTTGCAGACAAGGCAATAGCAATCCTGTTGTTTATCTCCTGAACCAGCAAGAAACAAACCACATTCCTAATATGCCTTGTGTTGTGTGGTTACATTTATCCCAATTTAGCACTAGTTTCTGATCCACACAGGGTGCAGTTCCGCTCTCAGAATAGTTGGACTGTCCTCAAACACAAAGCTGCGCAGATATCTCCTTAGAGAGAAAAGGTGGCTAGAGCAGTGGAATCCCTACCTTTTTTCCACCTTTTCTCACTATGCACATGCTTGGCAAGAGCTGGCTGCTGAGAGCAACTGGAGACCTTACACCATGAATCTATGTGACACTCAGTCAAAGTGTCATATCTGACAGTGTCAGCAGCCAGTCCCTTTCCTTTCACCACCTCCCTGCACAGCACAGCTCCTCCCCAGCCTGTGAAAAATCCTTATCAGACTACTTCTCTTATCACCCTTCTCTCCTAATCCACTCTCCATGCAGTTAAGTGAATCATTCCCAGGCTTTGAACAAAAAAGCATTTCATGTTCAGGGCAAGAAAATAGGTCCATCACAAGAAACGATGGCAAACTGCATCTGTGGAGGAGGGTGGCAGCTATTTGTCATGCCCCAAGCAACTCCACCTGCAGGGAGACTGGGGTGTAAACTGTAACTGGTTAAGGTCGATTACATCATCTTTGTTAATCAAAAATAAAACCTGATCATGAAAAAAAAAAAAAGTGCCTTGTCTCACAGGGCCAGTAAAACCAGAGAAAAGCCCACCCACTCCTCAGTCACAGGATGTTTTGGGGAGGCAGAGATGAACTAGAAAGGATGCTGAGGGAGCACCTGAAAAAGCAAGGTAGCCCTGGCTGGAAAGGGCATGACTGCGCAAGAGGAGAAAACCTAGAAAGCTGGAGCATGTCTTGCTCTGCTGAGCACACCAGTAGCAGTCCTTTAACCACACATCCCAGCCATCATATGTTCAGTCTCTTTTGAGAAAGGGATTAAGATGGAAGAAGCAGGGTCCTGTTACTGACATCAGGTCTACAGGTAGGCCACTAGTAATTCTCCCCACACCAGCCACTCTCAGGGTCTGTCAGGTAGCTGTGAAAGCCACCCAAAACAGCTTCCTCAAGCTGCCTTTCCTACCTGTGGATTTTCTCACAGAACATAAAGAGAATTTTTCCCCTGCAGAGTAAGGATCAGACGTTCATGACTAGTCCCCAGAATGGCATTGAAAAGGACCATGCAACAGAATGTAGGTTAGAGTACTTTTAGTTTGAAGGGACCTACAACAATTATCTAGTCCAACTGCCAATGCATCTACTGGCCCACTCTCTTCTTTTTATACTGTTGAGGTGGAAGTCACTTGTTATGTCTATTTAGCTAATCTCTATTCCACTCTCCCCATATAAGCACAGATACTCCCATCTCACCCTTGACAACAATAACTGACTGTAGTGCTAGACATGATAAATCAGTCAGCACTCAGCTCCAAAGTCCCCTTTTTTTAGGCTGGGATTAAATGTCTCTGAGAGAATCACTGGGTTTTTTTCATTCTCCCTCTGTTCAACAGCTTCTATTCACCTCCACAAATTGCTGAGGTATTCCAATGTCAGCAAAAGGAGGGGAAAGGACACAGATGAAGACTGCCCTCTTTGTGACCAAAAACTGAATCAAAAATCTCCGGAATTATAAGCACAACTTTCTACAGCTCAAGTGACAGCAACAAAGACTGCAGCTACAAGTGCCTAATGTGCTTGGTAAACCTGTCTACACCACAGGACATAGACACTACGGAAATTCCCTTCTTCCTCTCCAACCCTTGGCACATAAGAGCTTGTTGGTGAGAGAGGCAACAATACTGGTTGGACTGGCAGAGTCCTGTACACCAAACACCATGAAGGGGAGGACATCCCATTGTAACACTGCTGCTGAGGCTGTTCCTCTGCCATGCCAGCAGGACAGAAGGATTCAGTATGGCCTCATGTTTCTCAACAGGTGGTATGGGGAACCTCTTCCTTAAAAAATGCTGCTTAAAAGCCCTGTGTTCAGCTGTACTCCCCTAGGCTACCAGATGTATGAAGCAGGGATTTCCCACCTGCTGGGTGACCTTCTAGATGTCCAAAGAGCCAGCACACCAATAGCACCCATCAACAGTAAAGTATGCAAGCAGTAAATTCCAAGGCAGAATGATGTTCCCAATGTGCAGATCAATAGAATTACTGGGGATATAAAGGAGCTTTTTATGGGGTAATGCATCTGTCTGGCTAGTCAGGAGATGTGATGCTTTCAGGCCTGGAGGCGAGAGAAGGAGACCATTTAACTGGGAGGAATCTGGAGTATGTCACCAGGGTCAAAGGTTTATAACAGCCTCAGTGATTCCTGGTATGAAACACTGAGCAGCACTCGAAACCTATTCATTGCAGTAGCCACATGCCTGCTTCCTACATGTCCAGGGAGTTACATCTGCAGTTCCACTGCCCCTTGGGGGACATGCACACTGAGTCTGGGGTCATCTGACCCACTGGGAAGATCTTGTTCCACTGTGCTGAGGTGCTCTGCAAAATTCCTGCAAAACACTCAGCACTTGGAAAGGACTTTAATTCACAGCCTATCTCTAAGGAAAAAACTTCTGCTGCCAAAGTGATGCTCAGCTGATGAGCAGCTCTAAATTAGGAGGGAGGAAGCAAGAAGAAACTCTGCTTGATTCCACCGTAGTGACACAGGGCAGGTGAAACAGATGACTTGGGGGTGCCAGCAGAGAGACAAGGTAAGGAAAACAAAACTGGTTACAAGAGAGAGACTGTAAGACATGAATCCCTGGCTACATTAAAAAAAAAATGCTCTTGCTCCCTAGCTATGGTAGATGAAAGCTTGTGTCCCACAGCAGCTGGCCCTATAGGCAAGTCCCAGCCATACAGCCCACTAATCCCTTTTTTCACCTGCTATGACACACTGGAGAGACAACAGCCCTGGGCTGCAGCAGGGCAGGAGTTATCTTCTCATAATGTTCTCCCTCAAAACTAGATCTGCTCCAGACAAACAGCCCAGAAGTCAAACCCTCAGTCATCTGAGCTGCACAAAATGAAGGCACCACAATACTGGCCCTCAAGCCTTATCCCAGCTCTCCCATCAAAGAGCTGTCCTGGCAAGTTGTACTAACAAATCCCCCCTGGACTCCCTGAACCAGCTAGGGATGGAGCAGATGGCTCTGGGTGTGCTGCTGACTGCAGACATGTCTGTGCTCACTGGTAATAAGCTGTGAGCTCACAGGACAACTCCCCTCCCCAGGCTGGTGCGTGCCGTCATAGGTCAGGCTATTCCGGGTGAGCCACGGCTGCTCCCTCCCTTCCCCTGCGACTGCTTTAATCCTCCAGCTCACTGCAAAGCCAGATAAAGTTCGGATGGAAACTTCAGGCTCTTTGATAGCTATTAATGGAGCAGATTTACCAGGATAGGAGACAGGAGTCTGCCACAGTTCCCAAATCTCAGGGCGGATCAGAGATGGTGTGATCTGTCAGCTGCTGTCTGGAGGCAAACCACACCAGGCAGTGGGCATGGATCTGGCATTTAAAAGACTTGAGCAGCAACCATGGCTAGGCTCCTTGGTCTGCCCTTGACCTGAAAAGTCCTGGTCCTGCATGAGGATAGAGACCATTTCAAGATGGTGCAAGCTAAGGTGAAGGAGGGAATACTTTGGATCAATCCCACAAAACACCTTGTGGGACATATTTCAGACAGGGCTCTAACACTCACTGCTGTGGGTTTCAGCCTTGGTTCGCTATGGATACGCTATGACAGGATGGGGCTGTCATCCCAGCCATCCTGAGGCATTTGGCCTCAGGAACCAGACACCATTTTTGGTGTTGCTCAGAAACCAGGTCTCTTCTGACAACTATAGCTAGACCTACAGGTGCTCTGCATTTCTTATAAACTATGACCAACACACACAGACCAGCTACTGTAGCATCTCCAAATATTGAGCTTCAGTTTTCCCTGCATTTGAATAAAAGCAACAAGGAGACACAGTTTGATGGAAGTTTTAAAAGCACTTTAAGATCCTAGAAGGCAGAGTGTTATTAACAGGAAAGTAAATTATCACATTCCTCTCACATCACTGAGGTCTTCGTAACCAGCTGTTGTGGACGAAAGTATTTGCAGTGAGGTTGGCAATGCTATATACTTTGAGATCAGGTAACACAGAAGAAATGAAAGGGAAATATGGAAATCCTCTATACCAGACACATGGCATTCTACTAGCAATGGTCAGAAGTAAAGGCATGAAATAGCCTTTAACAACAGCAGCTGTTCCCAGCAAAATGGAAAATTTGCTTTGGGATATCCAAGTTGTCAGTTTTCTACAAAGGTAAGACCATAAGATTCACAGAATGACTGAACATTACCTAAATACCACAGCTTTGTAGGACTCAAAAGGAAGCATCTTATCTGGCTGCAGTTTACCCTCTTTTTTTCCAGGTGTGTACAGGAGGAAACATTCCTGAAGGACAAACCCCCAGGCTGATTAGCATAGGGTCTCCAGTGCTATGCCTCAAGCACTGAGTATGAAGGGAATGGAGATCTGGAGATCAGCCCTGTGACCACCAAACCCTCTGATGTAGAACAGCAATCACCATTAAGGACAAACAGTTGCTGGCAGTGCAGCAGCAGTCAGCATCAAGAAGCAGTATCAAACCAACTAAAATGCAGTTCTGCTTTGCTCAAAAAAAGCAACTGTAACAGATTCACATTTATGCTTTCTAATAAAGAAGTATATGGCAGCTGCTTAATGCATCCACAGTTCTCAGTCAGCACTTTCCCTCACTCCCTTCTGAAATATCAATGCCAGAACACCACAAAAGCCCCGAAACCCCAAATATTCTTAACAAAGCCCATGTAGACTCATTATGCAAACCTAATAAAACTCCACTTTTCATGGCATATAGGTCACCCAGGCCAAAGACCAGTTTAGACAATGCAAGTGATGAGTAGGAAGGCAAAAAAATTAATGCATTTATTTTGTGGATCCCAAACAAAGCTAAATCTGCCTCTAAACCATCTGAATTTAGGGTGGTCCAGCCCTGATGAAGGAGGAATCTTAAGCCCACAGTCAGAGAACTGCAGGTCCACACCTTACTCCCCACTGTATCAGAGAGGGTCTGCAGCTACATCTTACTGATATGGGCCCAACGCCCATATGGGTCCTAAACACTCCATCTCCTGCCCTCTCCACCCCTCATCTATGATGCCCCTGACTTTTGCTTTATCTGCCAACTCCAGGGCACCAT